CCTCCCCCTCTCTCTTTCTGTGATCTGCACATGTACAAATGGCTTTTTCCACACAAATCCTCCACTGCATGTTGACTGCTGCCCACAAGCTCCTACCATGTCTGCAGATGTGTAGAGATCTGCTAACGGTTTATCCAGCACACCTTCTCCACCAGTTTGCTTCTCTCAGAAGGGAACCCCTATTTTTTAGCACTTCCCGTTACTTCCCCCAGTTCCCCAAACTTGCTTCTCAACTTACTTCACCTCCATCTTCATCTTGTCTTTGAATCCTTGAGGTGATGCCAATTTAGGTCCCCGTCACCTTTCACTGTGCGTCTGCTAGCCACAAAGCCACCCTGACAGTGCCAAGAGGGTTGCTCTTGGTGCATTTGATCCCATGCCCAGCAGCTCCAGGTCCTGGCACAGGGGAGGGTCTCAGTGAGTGCTTGCTTAATTGAGTTTCTGAAGAAAGGAGCAATGCCAGCCCTTCGTTAAGCTCCCAGGGTCTCTTCTGCGAGTGCCAGTCACCCGCTGTCTCTCACGCCCAGCTCATTAAGCAGGCTTCTTCAAGCACTGCCATCTAAGAGGAAGAAAGAGCCTTCAGTCAATGCCACTTCTTTATACGATTTCCTGGCTACAGTTTCTTTGTGGTAATTTTGTGTTCTGGGAAGGAACTAGGGAGGATGGTGAGAACTGGAGGCCTTAGAAAACTGAGGCTCTGAGGATTAGCAATATTCTCAAAGTCATGACGCCAGCAAGCAGTCTGGTTCAAAAGTCAGTGTGTCTGCCTGTGGGGTTCTGGCTTCCGGCCATGAGGTCAGGGTCCACTGGGATCTTTTTCTCACTATTCATGGATGGCTGCTGACATTTGCATGTGAGAACCCTCTTTTCACAAGTGCTTTGAGAAAATGGCATTCTGGACTGTTGGAGTAATACCACAGGTTGTGTTTCCCACTTGCTGCTTCCTGTGCCACCATGAAAGACCCTGGAAAATTCTACAGAAAGAAACTCTTTAGGGTAGGTTGGTGTTCTCAGTGTTCTCCAAATCTCTGACTGTGGAAAACAATTTCCATGTACTACTGTAGATTGAGTACCTCTTCTCCGAAATTCTTGGGACCTTGAGTGTTCCAGGTTTGAGGGTCTCCCCACCCCACACTACCACCACAAATCTGAATATTTAGATATATACAATGGTATATCTTAGATGGAGCTTAAGTCTAAGCTTGAATTCTGTCTGTTTTATGATCACTTTACACACGTACCTAAAGGCAATTTTCTATAGTATTTTAAATAGTTTTGTGCATACAACAAGGTTCCACTGTTTAGAATTTTGTACGGGTCACATTTTGTCAGCAAGTTCTCTATTTTGGAGATGTCTAGATTTTAGTGTTTTGGGTTAGAGATGTGCATCCTATGTTAGCATACTGGAGAACACTCCTTGGAAAACACTAGCTCTTACTATTGTGGAAAGAAGATGGATGGCCCAATAAAGGATCCACTGGTATGTCTCTCTGGTTTGTCTATAGTAGAGAAAGCTGGAAGGCTTCCCTCCAGCAAGAAGGGCTATGCACAATGTGACCTTCTCATCAGCTATTTGTGCCCACTGTGTGTATTTGCTTGCAGATAAGGCCGTTCTCATGCTCACACTACACTACAGGTAGATCACCAGCATTGTTGATTTCTCTACAGGTACTGCCAGGGTGGAACCTGCGTGCTTTCTTGTCTTCTGTTCCTCATCCTTGTAAATGGTTTAGGGGCATTTACAGCTTGTACTAGACTGATGGCAAAGGCTTAATTTTAGCTCACAGACTGAGTGTCCATCATGACAGGGAGATCAAGGCAGCAGGGACAGGGGGTGGCACGTGACGTTGCATCTGTCAAGAATGAGGAGATGACTGACTGCTGGTGCTCAGCCACTTTTTCATTAGTCTGAGTCCATAGCTCATGGGATGGTGCTCATAGCCATGGTGGATCTGTACACTTCAATTTCCTTTTGCTGGAAATACCCTCATAGACGTACCCAGAGAAGCGTTGCCATAGTGATTTGGAATCCAATCAATTAGACATCAAAGACTAACTAGCACACAGGTGTTTGTCCAGAGCTGGTTAGAGAGCAGCCCCATCTCTGTATCTGTGAGAAGCACCCAAACCACAGACGCAGTTTTGTTTTCATATTGGGAATGTTAACCTTTCAAAGTTCAGCAACAGATACCACCTCACCCTCTGTCTTCTCAATCACCTCTCCATTGAACCCAGGGTAAATGCTCACATAATGTTTGATAGCTTGAGTATGAGAGTATACACACTCCAGTAGACTGCATGGTTCAATGTGGGTGAGGAAAAAAAATCAATGTTGCAAATCTCTTAATTCATCACTAAAGCCATCCTCCCGGTCCAAGCAGTGAAGAAGGATGCAGAGACAGAAATGGATATCAAGTGAATTGCACGCAACTGCTTGAAATGTGGTGCTCTTGGAAGAGTTAGAGCAACTGTCAACATCCCCAATGTATCCATTTGTATCCCTTCTGACAGTGATGTGATGCTGTTGGAGATTCAGGTCTCGTCTTCGCCTCTGAGCTCATCTGAATAATGCTGGTGACGGGAGGGAAGAGAGAGATGAGGCATTTAGAGGCAGCCCTGGATCCGACTGTATAAATCTGAAGGAGGTAGGGTAGGACAGCTTGGCCCTCTCAGCTTGTCTAGTGCAAGGCATCATAGAAGGAAGTGAGGGCACCAAAGTGGACAGTGTTTGTCTTCACCTCAAGTGATCATGAGAGGTGCCGTGCTAATCTTCATCATGCTCCTCCTAGCAACTGTGTCTGAGTGTGCCGTGATCACAGGGGTAAGTTCTAGCATTCTCTGCAGACCTGGCTTGGGGGCCAAGATCGGGGTTCTATACAGGGCATGTGCTGAGAACCACAAAGGCTCTGCTGCTCCAATTCACCTAAACCAAAGGGATTTTGGAGGTAGTCACTGCCTGGGAGTGGGGTTGCATGTGACTTTGGATGGGTTAGACCTCACTCTGGCAGACAGAGTTGGCCTTTGAGAAGTTGTGGAGAAATAGAATATCATTTTAAGTACATTAGGAGGGCACTGGGATTTTGACATTGAGTCTTTAGTAAAATGGAGAGTCCTTGGTGTGTGCCACCTGTACCTTCTCTGGGTGATGGAAAGATTTGGTATCTGTTTCCTTCCTCATCCTTCCAAATAGAAAGGTTGGAGCTTCCAGGTCCTGTCATATCCCATGCTGGCAGCCTGAAGGTGTTCCGTGGCTGTTACTGTAAAGACAGGGCAGATTAGTTCCCCTTCCTAGCCCCATTTGTCTTGTGTACACCTTGGTTTTCATCTGTGTCTGGTTCACTTGTCCGTGTTAACTCACAGAGCATGCTGTGAGTTCAGGGCAGCAAGCACACAGGGCCCCTCCTGAGTCCCACTTTGGCTATTAGGAAGGATGCTCAAACACCTCTTTTCATTCTTTAGTAGCCTCCCAAGGGAAGATGAGTGGCACTAACATTGGCAGAATGCACCCCAAATGTGTTAACCTTGAAGTAGAGGCTCAGCCCAGGGCACTGAGTATGTCACGCAGAACATGGAGTCCTCTCAGATCTCCTACTGTACCTGTGCTCCTGACGTGTAGGCACATGCTGTGCCATAAGTTGGACCTTATTACAAATCAAAACACACTGCTTCTCCAGAAGCTCCCCAGGTAAAAGTCAGGAAGAAAAAGAGAGAAGTAGGTTTTATTTCAACTTCCTCCAACCATCTACATGGAAGGTAAGTATGGAGTAGTGCTAATCAGTTCCTGGAATCAGATACATTTTAATTTTCACAGAAAAGGCAACCTCAATTTTTAAAGGAAAGAGACTCCACTCAAAATAACACATAGGGCAAGCGAATGCCCTGAAGGCAGACTTGTGTCTAGCAGGTGTGACTGATGAAAGCCATCATGAAGATCAGGGTTCAGACCTAGGAGAGAAGTTAGAATTGCCTGACACAGTGAGGGATGGGGGTACACGGAAGACCCAAGTAGCTGCTCAGTCGCAGTGTCACCAAGCCAGCGCCAATATCCATTCCAGAGTGGCAACAGGTAGAGAGGCCTAAGGGAGGTGGGACATCTGTTAATGAAGAGCCCAATTAGAGAAGAAGGTGTGGTCAGTCACAGGGAGTGAGTGAATGGCAAGATGAACAGTCAGAACAGGGTATTGAAGGGAAGGGAGCCAGGCACGTCCAGCTGCCATATCCTTTTGATGTTCCTTGTCTAACTCTCAGAAAGTCAGGTCCTGACATCTCCACCTTTCATTGTTCCTTAGTGACAGTCCAGCTGTAGTGCCCAACCTCCCAGAATGCCATGCCTACCATTGTCAGGGGAGAAGAGTCCAAGTGGAGCCCAAGTCCCTCACCTGTAGTTCTCAGGGGGTTGGCTTGGGTGTGAGCAGTGCCCCCGCTGGGCTAGAGGTTAGCTGCTGGTGACTGCCTTCTCTGGGTGATGAAAAGATTTAGTATCTTTTTCCTTTATTATCCTTCCAAATAGAAAGGTTGGAACTTCTGGATCCTGTCATGTCCTATACTGGCAGTCTGAGGTGTTTTGTGGCCTGCTACTGGAGAAAAACGAATAAAGACTCAGCCTCAGACTTCAGCTCTGAAGCCTCTTGGGCCCCGGGTAGTGTCCAGGTTAACTGGTTCTCCATGAGGCTTTACCTGCTTTCTCGACCCTGGCTTCGGTGTAAAGTTAGCTTGTTTGAAACTTTCTTTCATTACCTGGTAACCCAGGAAGTCCAAGCAGCTCGACCTAGAAGGGTGCATTCATGATCCATGTCAGGGGTCCAGGGGGGCCAGCAAAGAAGTGTGGGAGGTATGGGGGCAGGGGGGAAGTGGGAGGAGGAATAACTGTCCACCAGGCCTCTGTGGCTTTCCCAGATGGAGGACAAGCTTAGAATGGATGCTGGGGGACAAAGGACAACAAAAGCTCAGCAGCGAACATCCAGGGTCTTGGACGACGAAGGACCCTCCTCCCTCCTTCACCAGAGTTCTAATTCATCGTATTCTACCAGTGTTGACCGGGATTAGAAAAGCTATGCCTTCTAACACGGGGGTTCCCGGGGAACAGGGACTGCCTCACCACTGAGCAGGAAGGGTTCCCCAGACTGAGGTCTGCTACTCTGCCGAGCACCGAGTGTACCTCTCAAGAGACAAACAGTGGTATTAGACCCAGGCCAAGGTGTCCTGTCTCTCTGAGGTGCTTAGTCACCTCCTCCAGATCCTGACAAGGATGCATAGCGTTTCTTTTCCTTCATTCCTTTTTGGGTGACACTAACCGGTTGGCCCTTTCTCTCTCCGGTAGGCCTGTGAACTAGATATCCAGTGTGGAGCTGGCACCTGCTGTGCTATCAGCCTGTGGCTGCGGGGCCTGCGGCTGTGTACCCCACTGGGGCGGGAAGGAGAGGAGTGCCACCCAGGAAGCCACAAGGTACTATGCTGGCATTAGATGGGCCTGTGTGTGTATTGGCATGGGCTCAGCAGATAGGGATCCTTGGGCCTGAGGCCGGCTTAGAGCAGGGCATCTGCGGTTTCCGAGGGCAATATGGGGAAGGCTAATATTGCTTCCTCCACAGTGGATCCAGCCTCTGACTGAAGGAAGGCCAGCAAGCAGTCACGGAGGTGCTGCTCCAGGTGGCTGTCTCACATAGGCCTTCAGATGTCTTTTGGATACTGGTTCGAGTGCTGACACTGTTTCTCTGCACCCTTCTAGACAGGCTGAAGGAACACAGTTATAATTTAATCTTTAAAGTATTCCCAGGGTTTGATAGCAAACTGAGGAATGACAGATTATGTGACTTGCTCAAGGCACAGTCCACACAACTGGGACTAGAACTGAGTTCTCTGAAGTCAACCACAGTCCTAGCTCACTGGTGTGTGGGTACAGCCTCCTTGGTTTTGGTGGAATGGTGACACCAGTCACGCAGGCTGTGTGTCCTTTAGGCTGGCCACTCTCAGATCTTTATCTGTTGTGTTTAATGGGTCTGCACAATACAGTGAAGGGAGTAGGTTAGCTATCCCAGAAGTGAGTGTCCTTTGCTTTTAAGAATGACCTCTCTTCAAGCACACAAAATGGCTTCCTATACAGGGCTGCAGCTAGAGCAACATACTTTTCTAAGGGGGACTACCTCTTCTTCTATGCCACAAGCAGCTAGCTCTCGGCCTGTTTCTAGCCCCTGAGGGCACAGGACAGCCAAGAGGGTCTTGACTTTGGCAGGGTTAGATGATATAGACACAACCTATAGCCTTTGGAGTTTGGGGCCACTAAGGGGCAGGAACCTTATGAGCAGGGCCTACAGTCACTTTCAGTTCCCCCTCAGCAGTCTTTCAAACTCTTGCTGGCTTGTCTGTACAAGTTCCATTGCTCATCTAGGGTCAGAGAATTTTCCAGCAATCCCTCTCCCAAACCCCCTCAAGCCATTGATTTGTTCTTAACCACCTTAGGCTCAGGAAGTTGCAAGCTGAAACACTGTGTCATCCTCATTGCCTTGGGCTATGGGAGACGGTTCAGAATGATTCAGTGTCCCAGCAGAGACAGCAGCATTAATAAAAAACAAATACTGAATGCTTCTTACATGCCATTTTTCCACAATAAGTTTTCAGTAAAAATATAGTCCCAGTCTCTTTACAGCTGTACATGGTAGGTGCTATTAACCCATTTTATGGATGATAAAGTCAAAGGATAGTAAGGGAAAATAGGTAGTCAGTTATCACAAATCTGGTAAATAGCAGGTCTGGGATTTGAACCCACGTATTCTGGTGCTGAACCTAGTCTCTTTACTGCTCTATTTAAAACCCACGGGGGGCTGGTGAGATGACCAAACAGGTAAAGGCACTTGCTACGACAACATGGTTGCCTGAATTTGATCCCTGGAATTCATGTAAAGGTGGAAGGAAGGAACAGACTTCACAAGTTGTCCTATGGTCTCCACAGGTGTGTGCTCCTCACTAAGTCCTCACATACATATAACACGCACACGCACACGCACATGGACGCACACATGCACACAACTTCAAAACTCGAGGAAACCTTGGGTGTTCAGCAGCGCTCTTTGATGTGACTTGGTGGACAGAGGGGGTGCTTGTCCCTTCACAGCTTTACCTAAGAACCTGGCCAGGGAGCTGAGGACACCTCAGGGTAAGCAGAGATTCACTCAGCAGAGGTGTGAGAGTGTCTGCACGTGTGTGCACATGTGTGCACATGTGTGTGCAAGCGCATGCACACATGGCCACAGGTGTTCTGCATGTGGAGCATCAGCCTTATTTGGGTTCAAATCTTGGCCCCTCCACAGACAAGTTGTGTGATGTGAGCATATCATTCAGTCACTCTGTGCCAAGGTGAATATGGTCACCATTATTGTTGGTTGGCAGGGGACATTTGAAGGTCTTTCCTGTGGCTAACATACTGCCCTCTTCTCTCTCTAGATCCCCTTCTTTAGGAAACGCCAACACCATACCTGTCCCTGCTCACCCAGCCTGGTGTGCTCTAGGTTCCTGGATGGCAGGTACCGCTGCTCCCGGGACTTGAAGAATGTCAACTTTTAGTTGGTCTGGACTCTGGATCCCACTGGGTGACCCCTTGCACGCCCTCTGTGTGATTTAGTTCCCTGCAACTTCTCCACTGCCATCCTGTGCATCCTGTGCAGACAGCTATGGAATAGTCCACCAGGGTGCAGAGAGGAGTTTGTGGCCTTGAGAAGTAGGCCAGCCTGGCCTTCCTGGCTCAGACTGCCTGAAGTTGTGACATTGTCATCCTTCTCAGTTGTCTGTCCCTTCCTGCACGTGCCCTTCTTCCTAAACCACACCTTCCTGGGCACTTGCCCATGGGTGCATCACTAAGTCATAGGGCCTGTGGGGTGGAAGATCAACTTTCTCTTCATTTTTCTTTTATTGACTAGCTCCTTATTTTAGGATGGTAAGTTCAAAGGCACCATTCTAAAGCAAGAGAATTTCAGGGTTTCCTTGAGTTTTAGGTGAGAGGCAGCGCCGAGGGCTCTGGGTATGTGTATGTGTGGTCTGCTGGGAATGGGTGGGAGGGTGCAGAAACTATGGAGGAGACAGCATGGGCCTACTGCAGCTCTCAGAGCTGAAATTCAGTCCCTTTGGTTATGTCCAAGATGTGACCCATAGGCCATGTGTGCCTAGTGGTGGTAATTTGTGTCAGTAATGGAGCTGGCAGGGTCCATCCAGAGCCTGAAGTGAGGTCTGGGAGCTTTCTCTACATGTAGGTTGCTGGTACCTCTGACTCCTCCCATCCCAATTCTTATTCTAGACACAGGGCGTCTAACAACACTGTGACAAAATGTTGCCATCTACAAAGTTCAGAAAGAAGCAATTGAGTTGCAACAACAAAATCTCTTTTTTAGTAAGCTTACAATTTTGTCTTGGGCCACACTGACAGCTATCCAAAGCAAGCAAACAAGCAAGCAAGCAAGCAAGCAAGCAAACAAGCAAGCAAGGAAGCAAGCAAGCAAGCAAACAAATGAACAAACAAACACTAAAAAAAAGTAAAATGTGAAAGGACAGGGTGCAACACCCATTCTGGTTCTCAGGAGCAGTAAGGAGAGTTCACTGAGGCTTCTGAGGCCCCGGGTTCCTGCCCTCTACCTGTCTCTGCTCAGTCCTTAACCCAGGGCCCACTAACCTGGGCATTGGCCAGCACAGGGACCTTGCTGAGATTTTGTCCCCTTAGACAGACACTGTAACCTGTTCTGCTGACCTGGGCAGCTCTTCCCTGAATGCAGCCCACAGTCTCTTTCCTTCCAGGCTCCAGCCCTGGTTCCTAAGAGTAAAGCTCCTTTCCAAGTCTCTGGACCCATGGTCCTCCTTGTCTCACAGATCTCCACGTTCCACTAACTGACCTCGGGTCCTGACCTCCAGATTGTGTTCCTCCCAGCACGAAGAGCCCTGAGTGCAGTGGTCTACAGCCAGTGCCTCCATGCTCCATAGATAAGCTGTTGGGTGGTCTATGGCGCTCCCCTGCACACTGTCATGTTGCCTGTCCATCCTAGCTTCAGGGCAGGCCACCCACAGAATTATAGGGGGAACCAACTATTTAATGTGACTATATTCATTTTCGTTGTTAATGTCATAATTTTGAGGACCGTGTAATGAGCCTCTGCATTCTCTGCTGTGGCAAAAGTTAGAAGGACAGTGGAGAGGCTAGGAGGCTTAGAGAATATGTTCATGAGTAGTATTTATATTCAGGAATATGCTATTCAGAAATATGGGTATAAAAAACTACTATAGGGATGGTAGGTACCTAAGAAGAATTTACTCTAGAAGAATAAGGAGAGGCGAAGTTGACAGACATTCTTTGAAGATCCATCTGCAACTAAGTCTCAGATCTTCCCTTTTCAAGTATTGGTGTCTGACGCCATCTCGTGGACAAAGTGGAAGCAGCAAGGAACGTGAAGGCCGAAAGAGGACTGTGTGCTTCCAGAAATAGAAGTGGGAGTTCTTCCTGGTTTGGACTCCATTGGAGATTCCGAACAGTGCTTGTCAAGAAGCCTGCCGCCAGAAGGAACAAAAACAACGCTTTATTAACACTCTGTCCTGCCTTACCTTACAAGTGGCCTTGGAAGCCGCAGTTCCCTTCCTGATGAGTCTAGGCCAGGTGCTACAGTTTCCCTGCTCACAGGTTTGCCAGAATGAGAGAGTAGATGTGGATAAAGTGTCTGTCTTCACCCTCGCCCCCTCCCCCCCGAGATATGAATCACCAGGATGTAGCAGGCTTTCAGAGCCACTTTTCTTTTCTTTTTTTTTGAAGTTAATTTTTTTATTGGATATTTTATTTACATTTCAGATGTTATCCCCTTTCCCCATTCACCCCTCCCACCCAGAAACCCCCATCCAATCCCCCCTCCTCTGCTTCTTTGAGGATGTGCCCCCACCCACCCTCCCACTCCCACCTCCCCACCCACAATTTCCCCCACACTGGGGTGTCCAGCCTTCACTGGACCAAGGACTTCCTCTCCCACCTTTGTCTGACACTGTCATCCTCCCCTACATATACAGCTGGAGCCATGGGCCCCTCCCTATGTGCCCCCAGGCTGGTGGTTTAGACCCTGGGAGCTCTGGTTGGTTGGTATTGTTGCTCTCCTCATGGGGCCACAAACCCCTTCAGCTCCTTCAGTCTTCTCTCTCACTCCTCCATTGGGAATCCTGTGGTCAGTTCAAAGGTTAAGCTTTTCAAGCTTAATTCCTTGGACTCTGCCCCCATCTGCAGCTCATTTGAGTGACTGCTCCCAGCACCTCCACAAGTCTCTAGGTAGCCAGAGCCTAGAATTCCCCTATACCCCCAGGACAAAAGGGCCAGACACGGGTGGCCAGAGGCCAGAGCAGAGACTGTGTGTGGATGCTTCCAGGTCTGCTGCCAGAGCCTCCTCTGTCTGTTGTTCATCTTCAAACTCCCCTCAGTGTTGCTCTTGGCATTCCGAGTAAGGTTCAGGTAAACTCCAATTAGCTACTGATCTATCCAGTTATTACCTGGTGATGAAAGGGCTTCGTGAAGGCCATGACCAGGGCTGAAGCTGGACCGAGGAGGAGCAAGAGACTTCTAAAGCTGAAGAGGAAGGTCAGAGAGGGAAGAGAGCCTGCAGGGTTGAACAGTGACTCAGAGCTGAGCCTGCAGAGGGGCCCAAATCACTGACCCAAGGTCAGCTCAGACCGGCCAGAGCCAACACCAAGGCTTCATGTGGAATTTATTTAAAAACATACCCTGCCATAGAAGTATGTGCTGGCCTGGGGCACACTAAAGGTGTCTTCTGGGATGTTTTCCCTGGCCAGGGCTTGGCACTGAAAGCAAAGAACTAACCTGGTATGAAAAGGTCCTTTCCATTCCAGATGAGTACAATATGATGTCCAAACATGGACTATTATTCAGTGCTGAAAAGAAATAAGACACAGATATGCTTCATAGTATGGCCCTTGAAGTCATTAGACAATGCTAGTCATAAAAGGTCACATTTGTACAATTCCATTTATGTGAAATGTCCACAGCAGGCAAACCCACAGGGACAGGAAGCAAGTCATAGTTGGTTAGGACTGGGGTGGAGTAAGGTAGAAAAATGAGGAGTCATTGTAAACAGATTCAGGTTTCTTTAGGGGTGACAAGAACGTTCTAAAATTAAATTGTGGAGATGGCTGTATAATCTGTCAGCATCTTTGACATTACTGAAGTATACAGTTGGTGAAGATAAGTGACGTGCTGTGTGAATTACATCACAATAGAGCTATTTTTAGAAACCTTAAAATACACAAAGTTGAAAAGAGAAAGGAGGTTAGGAAAAGAATCCTCTCCCCACCCTGACTGCAGGATCCCGATGGAAGGACCAGGTGTGGTGTGTGGAGAAGACCCTCAGAGTCTCCTGTGGGGAATGTGTGTGCTGTGTGTTGTGAAGTGGCTCGACTTCTCTTCAAAAGGAACATCATTTTCTAGTGGCTATTTAACACTCATTTTGTAGTGGAGGGAATGGATACCTCATGAACTAAAGCTACATATAGTATCATGCAACCCAAACTACATATAGTCAGCCCTCTGGACCCTGGGAGTTCTTCATGGGAATTCCACCAACTGTACATCAAACATATTAAAAAGTGCATCTGCATTGAACATGTGTGCGTTGGGCTTGTTCTTGTTGTTCTTTGAACCATACATATGACCGTGCGGTGTGGCATTGTGTCAGGTTTGATGAGTAACCTTGGAAGGGCTAAAGTGCTGGGAGGGTGTGCATAGGTCCGTTGTGATCTCATACTGTTTTCTATAAAGGACTTGAGTATCCTCAGATTTGGGTATCCACTGGGGGGTCCTGTGGACTCCAGGGATGCTGTTATCTTTTTTCTTACATATTTGGAATATTCAGTTTTCAGCCTCAGGCAACAACTTTTTGAATGGAAGTTTTGATGATGCAATAGGCTACATGAGATCAGTATTACCAAAGTACCAGACCATGCATAGTAGGCCAGGGTGGGTGACAGTCTGTTGTGACTGTGGTGTCTTTAAATGAACATGAGAACTGTTTTTTCCTTCCCTGGAGGGCACTGCCCTGCCCACCTTGGCAGGAGCAAATAATCTGATATACAGTTAACGGCACTCAGTCCTGTGTGTATTTCTGGGATGGTTGTGCCCCTGTTAGCATCTTGTCATGCATGCTGAGTGCTAGGCAGGAGTGAGGCTGTGATATATGAAGCATTCCCTCTCTGTCTGCTCCCCAGCTGGGGCTGTTTAGTGCCAGCAGCCCACAGCCACTAGACCACGGAGGCAAACAAACTTCAGATGGGTTAGCATGAGCTCCCTTGCCCTCCCCCGTATGACTTTACCTTCAATATCTGTAAAGACAGCGCCATATGTCCCCACTCCATGCTGCTAGCACTGCTTCAGCCTTCCCTAGCTTTCCTGTCTAGCTGAGGAGAATATAGCATTGTGCTTGGGTCTTGGGAAGATCACGTGGCCCATGTCACATGAGGCATGTGACTCAATATCCATTTCCCTGAAAGTCTTCAGTCTCCTCTGTCTGTCTGTCTGTCTGTCTGTCTCCCTCCCT